TTTCCTCCATGTCTATCGAACTCCTTGTAACACCAGATTCGAGCTTTAATTCATTAGCAAGCCATTGTCCGTCATCCCGCTGGTCATCTTTTGTCCCCACGGCGATCTTACCCTTGACGGACCTTTCGAAGTTCGAACAGGTGCTCTATCGGACGAAAAAGCCCTCCAAAGGTTGTCAACACACATTCCAAAAGGGGTATAGTGGCACGCTGCATTGGACCCAACACGCCGACCAGCGGGACCAAGTGAAATCTGCAGAAGCACATCAAATGGCACTTCGGGACCTCGAAAAATGCTATCTTCTTCTCCACCTAACCGCGTCCAGCTGAGCATTCTCCATAGGAAAATACAACGCTTCCTGAGGAGTTTCGAAGCTGCTTGCACTCACTGCCATAGGTCGGAGAACATATTACACTCCGCCTGCATTGACGAACTCAACTGCTAGAAGTTTAGGTGAACACCAGCCAACATGTCTACCATACGGCTCATTCTTCCACTCCACGGAGAGGCTACAAAATGCAAACTAGGGATGACTACTACCACCACGCGGCGAATACGATGGGGGAACCAGATTAGAAAATAAAGCTGCAGTGCCATCATACCTAACAGAGCCCATCCGACCACGCACCACCACAGTACTGATTACTACCTCATGAAAGGCATAGGGCGATGATAAGCCGGTCGGGAGAATCCCCCCGAGTAGATTGACTTCGATCTCGCAGCACTGGTGGAGCCACGAGGCCACCACGTGTTGTTGAATCCACTACACACATCATAACCAGTACCCGCCCCATCGAGGAAGATCTCCTCCGCTTGCTGCTGCTGCCCTTCTCCAAACGTAGACCGGGACTTGCCCAGCCGAGCCTCTGCAATACGCGGACGATCACCCCATCCCACGTGCGCAGACCCACTCGATCCATCGCCTCCATCTGCTTCTGAAAGCCGTGGAGTCCTGTAAGCTGGTGGGCAATAAAACAGAGGCTTCAACAGCTGTTTATCGAATGGCGTTGAGGCATGGAAGTATCTTTCACGACCAAATCAGCAACGACCTTGCATCGCTCCGCTAACCTTTTTTGCGGCTCTTGTTGCGTTCGGTCCTCCAACGGCTTGGACAGTCCGGAGATCGCGAGGACCGGCTTCGGAACTAAGGGAAAGCTTCACGGGAATTCTCCCAATCCGAAGCTCACTCTGTGCCCTTATAAGCGGTGGTTGACTCATCCAACCGGTTGAGGGGAGAGGAGGGGCTGCCTCAAGGACCTGACCTCAACTACACCAACCGACTACTCCCAGCCAGCCTTGGAAAGTTTGCTCGCTTTCATCAGCTGAGCTCAAAAGTTTCCCCAGTAATTCGACGAGCCTATATGCGAATTCGGGTAGACATGTTCAGAAGCTAACAAAAATTTCGCGAAATTTCCTCAAAATTTCGATACACGTAGTTGATCATGTGCATATTTTCCCACACTGGTCCCAACACCCACCTGGTGGCCTTGCACGACCGTCCTGCTTCTGGCACCAGCCGGGGAACCGTAGCCAAAAAGGAACTTGGTCGAGGGCTGATGACCACTGTAGCCTGGAGGGTAATCACTCCGCTGATGCACTTCCTACAACATCGAGGAATTCATGGCGAATTGATGATACCACTCCTCACTGAATCTGTCATGAAATGATATGTAGACCGGAATACGGACAAGTCCGGTGCAGACATCCCAGAAGGGTAGTAGCTCGCGGATGCCATAGTCGCGAATGCTAGTACTTACGAAGTAGCCAAGTTGTGGTATGATCATTAACCAACACGAGACGTTGAAAGACAAGGTGAAACCCTCAAGTACAGCAGAAATGCTACGACAACAGCAGGGACTAAGCCCTGCATCCTGGGGCGTTGGGGTAGAGCGTGCACTCTTTCATCAGAGTGTTGGCCAGGAGTAAAGACGCCAAAGTGGCCAGAAGGATGCCAATGTTCGAAGCCGCGAACCCGAGGTTCACACAGAGCTCACGGTGGGTATCGGGAATATCCTGACGACGCTGGAATAAGAACATGCAGTTGGAGTAAGAAGCGCCTCCCATGAGGCCTACTATCAGCATAATGCAGATGTATATCCACGCCATCGTAGAGTAGGCAGCAACGCCATTTCGGATGAAATGAAGACTGGCTTCTAGAGCCCAGAAAATCACTAGGACGAGTTGGAGAAGAGTTGGTATCCAAACTCGTTTAATCTGGACCCACGTCACCGACGCTCGCGATATGAGAACACCCGTGTTGTACGAGATGTTGCAGAAGCGTACAGTTGACCGAGCGAAAGAGGAAGCATCAGCAGGGAGGCCGACGGAGGCTCTATCGAGAAAGCCAGTGAGGATCCAGTACTCCAAGAAGTACACTGCAGTGAGGTTGATGATGATACCCCCAGCCATGGCTAAAGCCACTTTGATGCTGCTAATGGAGAGACTGCTACTGACCATGCTCTTAGCAGCAGAAGAGGAGGAAGTCGCCTCCTCGTGGTCGTCCACACTGGAACAAGAATCGGCCTTGTTGTTTATATAAGAAAACAATACCCAGTAGATTGGTATTGTTATGATCATTCCCAACATGACATAGGAGTAGTGGACCCCAGCGGCCACTAGGACGGAGTATATCAACGGACCAACAATGCCAGCAAGACCAGTGCCAGCCCCCCACGCCCCGATGAGCGTGGCCGGAAGCCTATGAAGTCGGGATATGT